TCAAAAGGGTCCAAAATTAAACTTTGTTTGATTTCATCAAAAATTGAATTATTGGGGTTCTTTGATATGCCAAATCTAACCGTGTTTTTAGATGTTTAATTTGGGTCCCGTTTTTTAAGTTGGTCTTCATTGAGGTCCAAAGGGTCCAAAATTAAACTTAGTTTGATTTTAACAAAAATTTAATTCTTGGGGTTCTTTGATATGCTGAATCTAAACATGTGTTTAGATTTTTGATTATGGGCCCAGTTTTCCAGTTGGTCCAAGTTGGGGTCCAAAATTAAACTTTTTTTGATTTCAACAAAAATTGAATATATGGGGTTCTTTGATATGCTGAATCTAACCATGAATTTAGATTTTTTATTTGTGGGCCCCGCTATCAAATTGGTTCATATTGAGGTCAAAAGGGTCCAAAATTAAACTTTGTTTGATTTCATCAAAAATTGAATTATTGGGGTTCTTTGATATTCCAAATCTAACCGTGTATTTATATTTTTAATTTTAAGTCCTGTTTTTTAAATTGGTCTACATTAAGGTCTAAAGGGTCCAAAATTAAACTTAGTATGATTTTAGCAAAAATTGATTTCTTGGGGTTCTTTGATATCAGTTTTCAAGTTTGTCCAAGTTGGGGACCAAAATTAAACTTTGTTTGATTTTAACAAAAATTGAATATATGGGGTTCTTTGATATGCTGAATCTAACCATGTATTTTGATTTTGGACATTGGACCATAATAGGTAAATTAAAAAAATTCAAGTTCTTAGACCACATTCTTTCTGTGTCAGAAACCTATGCTGTGTCAAATATTTAATAACAATCCAAATTCAGAGCTGTATCAAGCTTGAATGTTGTGTCCATACTTGCCCCAACTGTTCAGGGTTGACCTCTGCTGTCGTATCAAGCTGCGCCCCAGCGAAGCATTTTATTAAAATTGGAGTTATCTTCCTTTGTCCATTATTATAGTTGAATCAACTACAATCAATGCGTTATACAATGCAATGTTTAATTTTGACTTCCACTGATAAAACACAGATCAAGTTGAATTTGGGTAGTGTCACTTTAACCATTATTGAGTTATGCCCCTTTATAAATCGAAAGATTGCAAAATTTTTAGTTTCCATTCTGTAACTTAAGTTTGCCCCAACCAAACATTATGAAACCTATACACAATATTCATTACCACAAAACTAAGATCAAGTACAAAGTTTTTGTTTCCCTTTTCTAACTTTAGTTTGCCTCAACCAAATGTTATGAAACTTACACACAATGCTTATTTCCACAAAACTCAGATCAAGTTCAAATTTGGGTAGCGTCACTTTTACTGTTCTTCAGTTATGTCCCTTTATAACTAAATGATATGCATGCCGGGGTACATCTGTGTCCACATTTATTTTTCAATACCATACACAAATAAGAATTTTTTCAGTTTTTATACGACCGCAAAAAATTTTTTGTGGTCGTACATGTATATTGGTATGACGTTGGCGTCGTCGTTGTCGTCCCGCGTCGTCCGAAGACACATTGGTTTTTCGCACTCTAACTTTAGTTTAAGTGAATGGATCTCTATGAAATTTCACCACAAGGTTCAATACCACAAAAGGAAGGTTGGGATTGATTTTGGGGGTTATAGTACCAACAGTAAAGGAATTAGGGGCCAAAAATAAGCATTTTTGTAACTTCCAGACATACATTGTAACTTGTGTGTTAGTGTATGTATCTCTCTGACATTGTACCACAAGGTTCCAAATCACAAAGGGAATGCTGGGATTGATTTTGGGGGTAATTGCCTTAAAATTTTAGGAATTAGGGGCCAAAAAAGGGGCAAAAAACAAGCATTTTTCTAGTTTCATGACAATAACTTGTGTGTAAGTGTATGGATCTTTCTGAAATTATACTACAAGGTTCCATATCACAAAGGGAAAGCTGGAATTGAGTTTGGGGGTAATTGTCGAAACGTTTAAGAATTGGGGGCCAGAAAGGGGCCAAAAATAAGCATTTTTCTTGTTTCCAGACAATAACTTGTGTTCAAGTGTATGGATCTCTCTGAAATTGTACTGCAAGGTACCATACCACAAAGGGAAGGCTGGGATTGATGATGGGGGTAATTGCCTCAATATTTTAGGAATTAGGGGCCAAAAAGGGGCAAAAAACAAGCATTTTTCTAGTTTCAGGACAATAACTTGTGTGTAAGTGTATGGATCTTTCTGAAATTGTACTACAAGGTTCCATATCTCAAAGGGAAAGCTGGGTTTGAGTTTGGGGGTGATGAATCATAAGGGGGTTCAAAAAATTTGGGGAGGGGGATTTTTTTTTTTTCCTTTTTTTTCTTTTTTTCCTTTTTTTTTTCTTTTAAAATTTTCCATTTTAAGTTGGTTATTTCTGATTTATATTTAAAAGCAAATAATAATGATATGGTAGGAGATACACACCAAACAGGATGTGTAAATTATTATATAATAAGTATTGTGCAATAGCAAGAAATTTTCAATTGCACAGTATTGCACAATAGCAAGAAATCTTCAATTGCACAGTATTGCGCAATAGCAAGAAATCTTCAATTGCACAGTATTGCGCAATAGCAAAAAATATCCAATAGCACAATATTGCGCAATAGCAAGAAATTGTCAATTGTACAGTATTGTGCAATAGCAAGAAATATTTAATAGCACAGTATTGTGCAAAAAAGATACTTCATATAAATTGCTTATTTCTTGACCCATTTCAATGGGGTTTTATTCTTGAATTCTTGGGGTTTTTTAATATGCTGAATCATACCGTGTATTAAATTTTTGGATTTTGGGCCCCGTTTTTAAATTGGTCCACATTGAGGTCCAAAGGTCCAAAATTAAACTTTGTTTGATTTCATCAAAAATTGAATTATTGGGGTTCTTTGATATGCCGAATCAAACCGTGTATTTAGATTCTTAATTTTTGGTTCCGTTTTCAAATTGGTCTACATTAAGGTCCAAAGGGTCCAAAATTAAACTTAGTTTGATTTTAACAAAAATTGAATTCTTCGGGTTCTTTGATATGCTGAATCTAAACATGTATTTAGATTTTTGATTATGGGCCCAGTTTTCAAGTTGGTCCAAATCGGGGTCCAAAATTAAACTTTGTTTGATTTCAACAAAAATTGAATATATGGGGTTCTTTGATATGCTGAATCTAACCATGTATTTAGATTTTTTATTTTTGGGCCCCGTTATCAACTTTGTCCACATTGAGGTCAAAAGGGTCCAAAATTAAACTTTGTTTGATTTCAACAAAAATTGAATTCTTGGGGTTCTTTGATATGCTGAATCTAACCATGTATTTAGATTTTGGATATTGGACCATAATAGGTGAATGTCCAATTTAAAATTTTTAAGTTCTTAGACCACATTCATTCTATGTAGAAACCTATGCTGTGTCAAATATTTAATCACAATCCAAATGCAAAGCTGTATCAAGCTTGAATGTTGTGTCCATACTTGCCCCAACTGTTCAGGGTTCGACCTCTGCGGTCGTATCAAGCTGCGCCCTGCGGAGCATTTTATTATTTTTTGTACCCACAAAATTATGAAGAGGGTGCTAAAATATAGTAATGAGGGTGTCTGTTTGTCCTTAATTCAAATTTTTATATTCAATTGCTTACATCCACTTCATTTGAACTTTGGTGGATAGTTGTCTCATTGGCAATCATACCACATCTCGTTATTGTCGAGCCTTCGACTTTAGTCGAAAAAGCGAGACATAGCGATCCTACATTCCGTCAGTGTCGTCGTTGTCGTTGGCGACGGTGTCCACAAATATTCACTCTGTGGTTAAAGTTTTTGAAATTTTAATAACTTTCTTAAAACTATCCTGGATTTCTAACAAACTTGGACAGAAGCTAGTTTATGATCATAAGATAGTATCCAGAAGTAAATTTTGTCAAAATAAAATTCCTGTTTTTCCGTATTTTACTTGTAAATGGACTTAGTTTTTCTGCCAGGAAACATTACATTCACTCTGTGGTTAAAGTTTTTAAAATTTTAATAACTTTCTTAAACTATCCTGGATTTGTACCAAACTTGGACAGAAGCTTGTTTATGATCATGAAATAGTATTCAGAAGTAAATGTGTTAAAATTTTTTTTTCATTTTTTCCGTATTTTACTTATAAATGGACTTAGTTTTTCTGCCAGGAAACATTACATTCACTCTGTGGTTAAAGTTTTTAAAATTTTAATAACTTTCTTAAACTATCCTGGATTTGTACCAAACTTGGACAGAAGCTTGTTTATGATCATAAAATAGTATTCAGAAGTAAATGTTTTAAAAATTTTTTTTTCATTTTTTCTGTATTTTACTTATAAATGGACTTAGTTTTTCTGCCAGGAAACATTACATTCACTCTGTGGTTAAAGTTTTTAAAAATTTAATTGACTTTCTTAAACTATCCTGGATTTGTACCAAACTTGGACAGAAGCTTGTTTATGATCAAAAGCTAGTATCTAGAAGGAAATTTTGTTACCTGTTTATCCGTATTTTACTTTTAAATGGACTTAGTTTTTTTTCCAGTTAACATTAAACATGTTAAATACAGTCTGCAGTTAAAGTTTTTAAAACATTTATTAGATTCATAAACTATCCTGGATTTATACCAAACTTTGACAGAAGCTACTTACAATCAAAAGATAGTATCTAAAGGAATATTTTTATTGATTTTTTTCCTCATTTTTGTTGAGCCTGCGATTTACAGCAAAAGTAGGCGAGATACTGGGTTCCGCAGAACCCTTACAATTTTTTTTTATATAAACGTCCCTAAATTATATAGTAGAATCATCCCTGAAAAGATTTACATTACATGTGTTCTTCAGTCTATGAACAGTGTACGTGTATGATAGTATATATATATTTAACTGTTTTCCATATGTTGAAATGTCAGTTTTGAATATTCAACAATTTTTTGCTTTAAAAATGACTTTAACTATGCAAAGATCTACCTGATGATTTTGACTTGTCAGAATTTTCTTTTTATAGGTACAACCCGTAAGCCTCGACCAAAAGAAAAAAATGGGGTGGATTATACCTTCTTGTCAATGGAAGAATTTCTACATCTGGAGAAAGAAGGAAAACTGCTAGAGAGTGGAGTTTATGGTGGTAAGATACATGTACAATATACAATGTACACAGATTTTTACTTTGTCATATGATCAGTTTTTTTTGCACCAAACCTTTCAGAGAAAGGTGTATGATAGCTGCAAGAATATGCAGGGTTGACAAAGTTTTACCAGGGCGGGAAAACCTGGTTTTCTGGGGTTGGGCAATACTACCAGAAACAGGTACAAATGTAATACTGGGCAATACTGGGTAATATGATTTTTCAAGCTTATTTTTACACAAAATAGTAAAGACCTGTTGTAGTTTAATAGTATTATGATTATATAAAAACTAAGAGAAACATGTTTTGAAATATTTGTAAGTATCAGCTATTTTAATATGTTTTGAAATTCACAATTATAACTGATATATATAACAAACTAAAGCCTGTTATGTATTGCTGCATACCTAAAGAGGAATTGATTTTAATTTTCATTTTCATTTTTGATTCAAAAATCAATGCCATTGGTTTTCGTGCCATTGCCCTAATCATGTTATTTTTATACGACCGCAAAATTTACGGTTCAATACCACTAAAGGAAGGTTGGGATTGATTTTGGGGATTATGGTACCAACAGTTAAGGAATGAGGGGCCAAAAATAAGCATTTTTGTAACTTTCAGACATAACTTGTGTGTAAGTGTATGGATCTCTCTGACATTGTACCACAAGGTTCCATATCACAATGGGAATGCTGGGATTGATTTTGGGGGTAATTGCCTCAAAATTTTAGGAATTAGGGGCCAAAAAAGGGGCAAAAAACAAGCATTTTTCTAGTTTCATGATAATAACTTGTGTGTAGTGTATGGAACTTTCTGAAATTGTACTACAAGGTTCCATATCACAAAGGGAAAGCTGGAATTGAGTTTGGGGGTAATTGCCCAAAATGTTTAGGAATAAGGGGCCAGAAAGGGGCCAAATATAAGCATTTTTCTAGTTTCCAGACAATAACTTGTGTTCAAGTGTATGGATCTCTCTGAAATTGTACTGCAAGGTACCATACCTCAAAGGGAAGGCTGGGATTGATTTTGGGGGTAATTGGCTCAAAATTTTAGGAATTAGGGGCTAAAAAGGGAAAAAAACAAGCATTTTTCTAGTTTCAGGACAATAACTTGTGTGTAAGTGTATGGATCTTTATGGAATTGTACTACAAGGTTCCATATCACAAAGGGAAAGCTGGGTTTGAGTTAAGGGGTAATTGCCCTAAACGTTTAGGAATTTGGGGCCAAAAAGGGGCCTAAAAACAAGCATTTTTCTAGTTTCCAGACAAAAACTTGTGTTCAAGTGTATGGATCTCTCTGAAATTGTACTGCAAGGTACCATACCACAAAGGGAAGGCTGGGATTGAGTTTGGGGGTGATGAATCATAAGGGGGTTCAAAAAAATTTGGGGGAGGGATTTTTTTACCCTTTTTTTCCTTTTTTTTTCTTTAAAATTTTCCATTTTAAATTGGTTATTTCTGATTTATATATAAAAGCAAATAATAATGATATGGTTTGAATAAGTAAATTAGAAATTTTTAAGTTCTTAGACCACATTCATTCTGTGTCAGAAACCTTTGCTGTGTCAAATATTTAATCACAATCCAAATTCAGTGCTGTATCAAGCTTGAACTTTGTGTCCATACTTGCCCCAACTGTTCAGGGTTCACCCTCTGCGGTGGTATCAAGCTGCGCTCAGCGGAGCATTTTATCTATAGTTACAAGAGTTTAAAAAAGAATTAAAAAAGTCAGACATTCTTAAAAAAAATATTTGGAAGCCCTATCCTTGTATGACTGTTGTATAGTACTTATGGTAGAAATATAAAGAAAGAATTAGATGGTTACATGATAAATGTCAAACAAAGAACAACACCATTTACAAGACTGAAGAATCTTAAGAGTTATCTACCTTTGCATTTACTCATTTACAAAAAGTATTTCTATTGTTGATTGTGCGAGATTGAAAAAAGAAAAGTATATATTAATCTGTTTAAATTTTTTTCATTGGAATGTGCAACTTTTCATGTTTTCAGTTTCTAATTATTATGATAAAACTGGTCCATCTTCAGGGCTACATAAATTTGTTTTTCTTTATAAAATGATAATACAGAATAGTATCTGTTGATTTAGATTTAAATCGGTTACAATTGTTTGGTTCCACTCTAATGATTCTTTGGTTGTAATTGGTATATCAAATTAAAAAGAGATCAATGTAAAATTCAGGTTATTGTTGTTGTGTGTAGCATCACCTGGTCTGTAGATACTGCAGATTTAGTCATGGTTTACAGCATCACCCGGTCTGTAGATACTGTAGATTTAGTCATGGTTTACAGCATCACCCGGTCTGTAGATACTGTAGATTTAGTCATGTTTTACAGCATCACCCGGTCTGTAGATACTGTAGATTTAGTCATGTTTTACAGCATCACCTGGTCTGTTGATACAGTGGATTTAGTCATGTTGTACAGCATCACCTGGTCCGTTGATACTGTAGATTAAGTCATGGTTTACAGCATCACCTGGTCTGTAGATACTGTAGATTTAGTCATGTTTTACAGCATCACCCGGTCTGTAGATACTGTAGATTTAGTCATGTTTTACAGCATCACCTAGTCTGTAGATACTGTAAATTTAGTCATGGTTTACAGCATCACCTGGTCTGTTGATACTGTAGATTTAGTCATGGTTTACAGCATCACCTGGTCTGTAGATACTGTAGATTTAGTCATGTTCTACAGCATCACCTGGTCTGTAGATACTGTAGATTAAGTCATGGTTTACAGCATCACCCGGTCTGTTGATACTGTAGATTTAGTCATGGTTTACAGCATCACCTGATCTGTTGATACTTTTGATTTAGTTATGGTTTACAGCATCACCTGGTCTGTAGATACTGTAGATTTAGTCATGGTTTACAGCATCACCTGGTCTGTTGAAACTGCAGATTTTGTAATGGTTTACAGCATCACCTGGTCTGTTGATACTGTGGATTTAGTCATGTTGTACTGCATCACCTGGTTCGTTGATACTGTAGATTTAGTCATGGTTTACAGCATCACCTGGTCTGTTGATACTGTAGATTAAGTCATGGTTTACAGCATCACCTGGTCTGTAGATACTGTAGATTTAGTCATGGTTTACAGCATCACCTAGTCTGTAGATACTGTAGATTTAGTCATGGTTTACAGCATCACCTGGTCTGTAGATACTGTAGATTTAGTCATGTTTTACAGCATCACCTGGTCTGTAGATACTGTAGATTTAGTCATATTTTACAGCATCACCTGGTCTGTTGATACTGTGGATTTAGTCATGGTTTACAGCATCACCTGGTCCGTTGATACTGTAGATTTAGTCATGTTCTACAGCATCACCTGGTCTGTAGATACTGTAGATTTAGTCATGGTTTATAGCATCACCCGGTCTGTTGATACTGTAGATTTAGTCATGGTTTACAGCATCACCTGGTCTGTTGATACTGTAGATTTAGTCATGTTCTACAGCATCACCTGGTCTGTAGATACTGTAGATTTAGTCATGGTTTACAGCATCACCTAGTCTGTAGATACTGTATTTACAGCATCACCTGGTCTGTTAATACTGTAGATTTATTCACAAACTTATGATTGTCTGCATACTTTTTGTTGATCAAAGATAGAGCTTAGGTCATTTATTCTTTCTGAGTGCATGTCTTAATTTGAAGAAAAAATATGTGCATTTTGTACACATTTAAACTTTTTGCATTTCTCTTTACAAAGAAATCTTTATTTTTCTGTAGGGTGTTGCTACTTGCAGTTGTTTTGAAATAAAACAAATTTGAATCAAATAGAAAAAAAACAATTATTCATACAGACTTTAATGTTTTAGTTAAAAAGAAATGGATTACATTTAGTAAAACACTGAACACCATTTACAGTTGATAATCACAATGTACAAGTCATCTTTTACATTAAACTTGAAATTGATAACAATATTTGAGAAGAGGACCCAAATTGTGTCATCCTTGGGTTGAGGACTTCCCGATGTTGGCATGGGATAATAGATAAAAAAACGTTTGTCAATAAATAATACTTCAAACAACTGATCAGCTGAATAAGTTCACCATAAACAATACACAGGTTATCATTGGTTGTTTGTTTAAATGGGGTATCATATGTCCAGGAAACAAGTCCCTGATATACAATTCTCCTTATGTGTTCTTCTAAATAAAGCTACTGTTTTGATATATATTGTATTGTTTGTCACATGGTGGGTCTCCAACAGGAAGGATGCCACTGATGTTTTATCTAGTTGGTATGTACTTTTAGTTTCTGTTTAGTTATTGAAGCTAAATCTATAAACTATACAGTGATTTATAATAATTTATATTAAGCTAACTGTTTATTAGAATAGTAATTGTCCCTATATTTAAATTTGAAGATATTGTCTGGCAAAAATTCAAAGTTATCTTGGTTTGATGATTTATATTTTGTTTGATTTTGTTTTGTTGGATTGCTGTCTCAATGAGGTATACCATATATACATATTAATATCCACAATACCTTTTATCAATTTAAAAATAAAAAGTTGTGGAATTGTTTCCAGTAAGACAACTATCCACCAGAGTCCAAACGATGAGGACGGAAGCAACTATAGTTCACTGTACAATGTTCAACAATGAGCAAAACTCATTACCAAAAGTCCAGTTATAAAAGGCCAAGACAAGACAAAATGTAATACAATTCAATTTGGACTAAAGTATCAATCAGTACAAATCCAACTGATTCAGTATAAAGACGTCATAATTATATATTTATATGAGCAACTCATTACAATTAAAAGCCAGTGTATGGATTTCAATAAAATGTGATGTAGTTTCCCTTTAGAATAGTAATATTGGGCTTTACAGTATCTGCAATAAAAAAGAAAGGATGTTATTGACAAAAAATAGTACAAGAAGGAATTCAAAATATGATTTAATATAAGATTGTTAAGGAAAAAAGATGAACTGTATATTTTGTTTCAGGAAATCATTATGGGACACCTAAACCTCCACATGAACCTAAAGGACCTCTTTTACGAAGAACTGGATCTGTCGGTCAAGTTGCAGATAAGAGGAAAAGAACCAGGAGCATTGGAGATCCTGGATCAGCAAAGTCATCCCCTATTCCATTCCATGAAGAAATTTCGAGAAAAAAGTCGCTGGAAAGAGCTCACAGTTCTACAGATTTAGGTCCACTGCCACCAAACTGGGAAATGGCTTACACTGATGATGGCCACCCATACTTTATAGAGTAAGTTAACCTTCTCTCAAGGTTATACACTTTAAAATTCCTCTTGCTTGTAAATTTCACAGAGGCCGTGGGTGATTCACTCTGAAGGAAAGAGTTCCATATGGCACCCCCACGGAATAAACTAATACATTATTGTGTTCTTTTAGTATGGCGGGGGTGTCATATGGAACTCTTACCGCCATTTTTAACTGCACCACCTTGTGTCTACCATGTCTACTGCACATATAACATTCACCATTTTTATTTAAGCATATTCAGGGAGAATAATTAACCTGTGTAAGATTTTGGAGACTGTTTCCTGTCCCACTACAGTGTTTTTCTTAGAGGTTTTATGCATTATGGTACCCCCATGCATTAATTAAAAAAATTTAAAATCCCAATTACTTTATATAAGCCCAGATCCTTCAAAATTCAGGACCACCATCCTTTCAGTAAATTCCCCATCCTTCAAAACAATTATAGGGAAAACACTGCCACTTGTACTGATTACTGTGATGACATTATAAAAAAGGGGGATTGTGATAAAACAAGTTTTAGGGAAAGGAGGAGGGATATTGATTACAACTTAAAAGAAAGGAGGAGGGGTTGTGACTACCACAAACATAAGAGAAGGGGTGTGATTACAACAAGAAAAAAGGAGGAGGGATTGTCATTACACCAGTAAAAAAGGGGGATTGTGATTTTAACAATAAAGAAAGGACAAGGAGGGGGGGGGTTCTGATTACAACAAAATGAAAGTAGGATATCGACTATATAAATCTTCTCTGGCATATAATTGACATATTCATATACCTTTAATTAGGTGCCATAGTATATTGATGTATATTATATCAAGGAGATATATATACCATGTACACCAAATGTCTAGGTGCTGGATAACTATTGTTACATGTAATTGTTAAGTTCAGAATAGGAAAATTGAAATCTATCTGGGGTTTAAAGTTTGTAAGCATCCAGCAGTGTCATAATTATATAAGAAAAAGACCTATAACAACTTTGTTGATGTAAAAATTATGATTGAGTTATTCCCCTTTGATTACATTTATTTATTTTCTTATGAAGAAAAGTGGGTACACCACTTTTAAAAAAATTCTTTCTGATTGTACATTTGTAAATCTAAAATGAGAAGATTCCATTAATTAATGAATTACAGAAAATGCTTGTATAATATAATTTGAAAAATCCTTATAAAACCTAAATTATTCAAATCCAGATGATTTAATCAAACATTTGTTTATTTCAGTCATGATACAGAAACAACCCATTGGTTAGATCCCCGATTATCACATCTACAGAAACAGACTGCTATGGATTGTAACGATGATGGTAAGTGTTAAAATAATGTGTTAGTCATAATCATTAAAAAATTGAAAACTTCAAATTGTAAGAAATAGAATGGATCATGATGGAACCATCATAGTATTTCTCTTTATTATGCAGCCAATGAAAAATCTTCTACTTTATTAAATGTTTAAATAAAAATGACTGTTAAAATGGGGGATCAATTGCACAAAGTGTTCATTTGTGTGTAATATATGTGTTGTAGCTCCCCTAGAATGTTATGATATTCTAACCTGCTTTTAGTAATGATCAGCATCTTAAATACAACCTGTTAACATTTGGTGTTCCCTATTTCAGAGGAAGTGTCATTATCCTGCAATGGATCATTTAACTAGGAAATAATACAATCAACTTTTTTGGTATACTTATTCAGTCCCAGTGTCTGTATCTATTGTGAATAGACGACAGTTGATGAATCTCTGCTGTTTTCATACTTCATTTTACTGACATTTCCATGTTATGTGATCATCAAAAATTATCCAATAACTTATAATTAAAGAGGAAAACCTTGTACTCTAAGCTTTATTAAAGTGGAGAATTAAAAACAGGATATGTACATTTTTGGAAATATTAAATGTGATTTCAGTGTCAACCTTTGCTATTCTGTCTTTTACTATACATGTATCTCTCTCACACAAATAAATTTGATATTTTCTGATAATGTACATATAATTTAATAAAATTATCTTAATTAATTTCCCCCTCCAACAAAAAAGGGGGTGGGGACAAATACAAATTTTGTATATCAACACCAAATCTTCATTGGTTGTATAATATCTTTGACTTCCCTACTGTATTAAGTTTTTCTTTCTCTGCCAATAGGAAGTGTTAATTTAGAAGGTAAGAATTCTGTTGTCCTGTTTTTATAGTTTCCTTGTTTTATTGTGAACCCATGTATCACCATCACTTTCTTCTTTCAATAGATAAGAACAATATGAATAATTTTGATGTGTATATAAAAAAAACGGTGTTCATGCATACTGGCTTCTTTCAGTAGAAACTTCATTATCAAACTATCAGCATTGACTAATATTCCTGAATTGGTACAAGAACTAAATCTGTATGGGGAATCAGGCAAAATAAATTTTTCTTTGGGTTCGACCTGAGTGAATCTGTCACGGTTTTCAGATGAGTGAATTTGTCTGGGGTTGGAATGATTTTTGTCTAGGGGTTCAAACCGAGTGACAGTGCTTAGTGTTCTAGCAAAAGGAATTTTCTTATGGTTCCAGCTGACTGAATCTGTCTGGGATTTCCAGTCAAGTGAATCTGTCTGGGTTTCAGGTTTCTGTCTCCTTAGCAATCATACCACATCTTCCTTTTTAATATAACTTTCTTCTTAAGTGCATTCTGAAAAAAGATAATCAATATATGTTTATTTTTAAGAATTTCACATGTAAAAAAAATAGAAAAGTAGGGATTAATTGTCAGCTGTTTTAACTTGGAATAACAAGAAATCTACTTGATCCGAAAGATACATAGATACACCTTAATGTAAACCTGATAGAAGTGATGGTGAAGCTTGTTAGTCATTGCAGTTAGCTCCTTTTAGTTGTTGAGTTCACTCCCTTTGCATGCTTTACTCCCTAGCACTATCCTATCTTATTTTGTGTTGTCATCATTGTTACTGAGTTATTGCCTGTATATTAGAATCAGTTGAGAATTCATTCTGAAGGCCAATAAAGTGGAATAAGAGATCAACAGACATGGCTGATAGGTTTACAAGGGCAATAACTCTGTAACTCTCGGTTGACAATAGGTTAAAATGGGAGAAATTATGTAAATAGTGTTCTTTTATGTTTTTATAATATTATTAGCTTTATTTTACAGCAATCCCAAGTTTTGATAGAGTACATAAAAAGCAATTGTGTATATGTTAATATATTGTAAGTTTGGAAATTAATGTGTGCATTGATGACAGTGAAATTTATTAATGCATTAATATTATTAGCAGAAAACAGAAACTGCATCGTGAAAAAACTATAAAATTCTCAAAACCTAAAGTTTTCAATTAGAATGTGTCAAAATCTTGTTAAATCAATCCAGAAATTTAAAAAATCTCATGGAATGCAAAAAAAAGGCACTTCTGGTTGCAACTTGGACCGAATATGATATCGCTTAAATCTGTTTAAAAAATCTAAATAATTGTTGGAAAAAATGTAAAATTCTCTTGAACTCTTTTAAATGGTGTGAAAATGTAACCTTACAGCAGGCTTACAGGTTTTCTTGGACCATGACAAGTTTTAAAACAGGAATCGTGCACAGTCTAACATTCTCAAAGCATAAACCTTGTTCAATTTCATAATATTATCGTTATTGATATAAAGTTAATGTTTGAAATATTTTAACATATATTAGGAAATGCAGTTCTTTTTTCTGCTAGTATATATATGATCAAAACAAAATGCAAGCTTTAGATAGTAAGAGGTAATCTGTTCATGTATCACATTAATTTCTGAATTGTAGTGTAAACTAACTAATTTTCACAAGTGATTTATTTACACGACTTTTACAAGTAAAAAGATAATGTTAAAATAATAAATGATCACAAAATAAACCTTACTTATATGAATTCAAAAGCATGGTTATAAAATAGTTAATATATTAAACATATCTGCAAAAATAAGTTGGTGTACATTATAGGTTTTATTTATTTATCAATATTTACACCTAAAATATATTTCATAGAATTGTGATAGTTAGAGACAATAGAAATTTAATAGTATAAACACAAAAGGGACAAAGTCAAATAGTTTGTGAAAAAAATATCATCGAATACATGGTACTCCAAAACATCTTAAAAACTCTTAACAAAAAACACTTAAACAGTTTGGTTTAAAAATGTTTTTAACTGGCTGACTGTGAGTTGACTGTCAAATGCAAGTATCAAATCTGTAGCAGGGAGTTTCAAACTCCCTGAAAATAAAAAAATACTATCAAAGGCTATTAATATTAAAGTTAAGATTCAGATTGTAGTTTGACTTAAGTCAGAGAGTCATGACCTCAAACAACTCCCCTCATAGACATCATTGATAAGTTCATGTCTAAAATGCAGTGAAGGTGTCCTAACATTACATTTATGAAATCAATTAATAAACTTTTTTACTAGCAGGTCAATCAATGATCCAATGTTTTTTACAATAATTATTTCAACTATTATTATAAACAACAATGTATGATTGTTCAATAACAGCAGTAATTTGATGCAAATATAAAATGAAAATGAAAAAAAAACCATCAACTTAATTATACAGTGGATGACCGTTATATTGATTAGTTTAAGGGTAAACATTTTAGTTACACTTAAATCTGTTGACCTTTTATGTATTTCAATAATTTTTATTTACTGATTATGACCTATTAATTGCCAAATTAAATAGAAAATTATTCGGTTATTGATTTCTAACCAGGATTTTGTGAATGGTTGTTGGAAATAAAGATGACTACAGGATAAATTATTGATGATTTTGTTTTCCATATCTTCAGGATCTTTAAAATGATTCTAGGACATATAGTTCTTGTATTTAAAAGCAATTTGAGTTCAGACAAAAAATTATGAATAAAAGGAGAATGGAGTATTTTATAGAATTGAATTATTAAAAATTCTTGTATTCACACGGTTTTATTTAATCATTTGTTATTGGATAAATTATGATCATTAGCAAGAATTACAAAAGTTTGAGATACAACAGTTTGGAGATCAGATGTAAGCTAAAACACCTTATGAATCATGGTGTAACTTATATCTGTTGAGATATACATAAATAACCAAATATACATTTGATGGAGGAAGTTTTTAGAAGGGTATATGATAACATGAAGATTTATTTTCATTACTGATCTTTGAGAAGGGTCAGCTTGCTCTGTTGAAAGTTACTATGATAGTAAATAATGTGAAATAGAATTATATCTTCCTGTTTCATTGTACTTTGAATATTATTATTCTTATGGAGTGAAGAATTTTTTCAATGTCTAATATAACAAGTGGGGTATAGTTTGCAGGACATCACATGCAACTTCTTGTTTCTTTTGTTGAAATGTTTTAACTATTGTTTAGAGTTCTTAATACTAGTGGCAGTCCCATTGTTTGAAGTTAATACTGAATAATATCCCTCAGTATATTTACCATGTTTTTGAACAGCCTGTACAATTGAAGTCACAATGAATATGAAATAATAAAATTTGCGTAGGTTACAGTACAGAACAGAAAATCTCAGATACCTTAAAGCACTAGCAATAGCACCCAGTATGTTTGGTATACTTTTGGGTACATCAATGTTTTGGGTAAATCAATGTTTTAGAAATTATACAAATTAATGGTCCAGAGTTACATAAAAAAAACATACCACAGAAATCACAGATGGTGAGATGCTATACCAGGGTAAGGATAACTTTGTTGTTTATCAAAGGGAGGTAATTGAGTGTCAGTTTGAGGGCAGTACCATGTCTGGAGTCTGACACTGTTTATTATCAGTTTAAGACATTATATATTATAGGCTCTGATCCTGTCCAATATATGATAGTATTATATTAGGATATAGTTTTTCTTTTTTCCAATCATATTGTGCTTAATATTGTTGTAAATGATGCCCTTTATGGGTTCTTGATTAGATTAATAAAATTCTTATCTTATTATATATCTATTGTTATGGTTAGCTACACATGGTGTGGATCTGTGTTATATAACAGGTGATAATATACTGTTAATGGGCTAACTGCTTCTTTTAATGTGCACCATTTCCTTGTCATGTTCAACTCTAGTGTGGGAAAGAATTAATAAGCATAATATATCTGAAAGGTGTCAAGATATAATAATACCAGAAACTGCAACAATATTATTACCAGTACAACCTGTCTAAGATTGATATCCTCATTAGTTTTTTCTCTAGGAATTTTTTGGGGATTATGACCGAAAGGATGGTCATTGGTTTTGAAAGATCTGGGGATTATATAGAGTGCAAAACGGAATTTATTAAGATTTTAAAGGACGGGACCTAAATTAACAAAACAGCCCTCTAGGGAACACTTATTTCTTAAGACTTTTTGGAGATCAATAAACATATGTTTTATAAATCTGTTTCATGTGGTTGCAAGATCTTTCAAATGACCCATTGATGCTGAAAAGTTTGCATGAATCATGCACTTTTAGACAGCCATTGAATCCTTGGTCTTAATTAGATCTCTCACTCAACAAATCTAACATGTAGTAACAAAACTAAAAAAGAATAGAATTGTCATAGTACTGTTAATTTTGTAGGTTTGAATCATAATACAGCAAATATCTTCTTCTTTTTTTTTATATAAATGTAAACTTCACAGCAATAAGATTTTATTCAGACATTTTAAATTTAGTTTCTGATGTCAGAAGAGAAATAATCACTTCCACAAATAGATTTTCTGTCATGTACAATGTATTATAGAAGTTCCAGGATCCTGACAATATTTTGATATTTTAGTTCACACTGTTGATATAAAATGTCCAATCAATGGCTAAAAACAATTGTTATCTAGGTTGTGTCAACAGTCTATACAATCTTGGATTGTTTTCAGGTTTATTTTATCACCTGCATTGAATTGCTATTTTCTCTTAGAAGATGTTTTGTTCCTTACAAACCTCCATGCATGTTTAATAAACATGGCATTAAAAATGTATCTTACACAGTATTCTGTCATTACAAAATCATATTTCTTTCTCAAAATATGGAAAGAAAAAGTTAAAAAGGTTGTAAATATAACAGATGGTCAGTATAAATTATAAAAAAATGTTCAATTGAAATTGGGTTTCAAAATTAGTTGAATGAAAATGAAAAAAGCTGTTACAGTATGGAACAATAAGTATCATC